TGTCAACCTTTCATCAGGTGCATCTCTTGAGCACAGCAGACCCAACTCGAATATTGGGACAAGGTCAATTAGACTGCTAGGAGACTCTGAGGGATTGTTACCATGGTTACGGATAAAGCCACAATTTTCTTCAATATCTTGTACAAGTTCAGCGTCCAGGAGCTCAACAAGCCTCGATGGAAATGCTCGATGAACCCACTCCCAAGGCTTCGTTCTCCAGCGAACATTGAATCAGTTGGCATCTTTCCGGTGAAGACTTCCAGTAACATGATACGAAGCTGAATACATCACTCTTCCTTGAGGCTTTACCCATGGAGCCATATTCTGGTGACCAGCAATAGTATCACCGTAGGTTAGCCACAACAGCATCATTACACATTATCAATAATAATTAACAGTGTAACTGTGCAAGTGAAATTAGTGGGATACCTGGTGCCATGTATCCTATTGTTCCAGGCATGCTTGCTGAAATCATGGAGCTCTCCTCACCTAGGAGCAGTTTTGCAATACCAAAGTCTGCAACATGTGCTGTCATTTCTTCGTCAAATAGCACATTGCTAGGCTTCAAGTCACAGTGTAGGACTACCTCATAGTGCTCATGGTGCAGATACTCCATTGCCATCGACACATCTAGCATGATGTCTAATCTCTTAAGGAACCCAAGGTGTGGCGTGCCTTCACTGTGCAGGTGTGCCTGCAAGCTACCATTAGGCATGTACTCAAGTACCAGTGCTCTAAAGTCTAGGTTGGAACAGGTGTTAATAATTCTTAAAAGGTTGCGGTGCCGAGCCATGCGCAATACTTGGCATTCAGCATCGAAACTCCTCACAGCCTGCTGAAGCTGCATATTCAGAACTTTTATTGCAACAGCCAAATTGTCACCCAGTTGGGCCATGTAAACTTTACCAAAGCTTCCAGATCCCACCAAATTTTCCTCACTGAAATTACCAGTAGCACGCACAATATCATGGTAGGAGATTATATCATGGCCAATAGCATCAACCATCCTGGCAGAACCCATTACCTCCCTCTGCTTTGATTTTTTCTTTGTGATCATCAGGTATAAGCAAATAGCTATAAGACATAGTGCCACAGTTGCAGTTGCAGTTGCAGGGAGTATGAACTTAAGGATGTGTGAATGAGCTGAGTAAGAATTTCCTGGACAAGGTGAAAATCCTAAACGAGAATCACCACACAGCCCAGAGTTGCCCATCAAAGACTGCAGAGTAATGTTTGTGAAAACACCACCCTCTGGTATCTGACCTTGCAGATTATTGTATGAGAGGTTAAGGTTTTTGAGGTAGGTAAGATTTGCTAAGTACCTTGGAATGTCACCAGACAAATGGTTCCAGGACAGGTCAAGTGTGTCTATACTTGATAGCATCTTAAAAGAGTCAGGAATTGAGCCATTGAACATGTTATATGACAGATTCAAGTAGGTCATTTGAAGAGGTCCTGATGAATTGGGAAGGCTAGCAAACAAGTGATTAGAAGAGATATCCATTAAGTCAATGTCTACCAAATTGCTAATATCAGATGGCAACACACCAGTTAAGTAGTTGTGGGATAGGTTAAGTTCGATAAGTTGGTTGAATTGGAATATGATTGGTGGTATAGTTGAAGATAATTGGTTACTAGACACATAAAAGTACTCTAACCCGCTAAGGTTGCCAATGCCGTCTGGAATAGAACCAGAAAGCTTATTTTGGTCAAGAAAAAATCGTTCTAGGTTCCCTAGCATTGCAATTTGTGTTGGGATTGGTCCAGTGATCTTGTTAATGCCAAGGTCAAGGAACTGGAGATTCCCCAGTGTTGTAATTGATTCTGGGATTATCCCACTAAGCTGGTTATGTGAAAGATATATGGAGTTGAGAGCACTAAGATTGGATATAGTAGCAGGAAGGCTTCCTGTTAACTTGTTTTCATATGCTATGAGAATCGTTAGTTGTATAGAGAGGTTACCGATGTAGTATGGAAGATTGCTAGTGAAATAACAATTAGATATGTCAATGAACTGGAGTTGTTTACAGTTAGAAAGAGTGGTGAAAAAGTCAAGCTCACCTTCAAGGAGGTTCCATCCAAGACTGAGAATGTTAAGAGATCCGATGTTGCCAATTGTTAACGGTACTGTTCCGCTTCATAGATTATCATGGAATACTAAAAAAGATAATTTTGATAAGTTGCCACCTGAAGCAGGGATAAAACCAGTCAATTGATTTCTTGATAGATGTATCCTTGAGAGCTCTTTCATTTCCCCCAACTCTGATGGAATCTCTCCAGTTAGATTACAATATGCCAATTCCATTTCGATCAGTGTGGTAAGGTTGCAGATCCCAGGTGGAATCGTCCCACTAAGAGGATTAGAAGCCAATGAAAGAATGGCAAGGTTTGGCAACTTGGCCAACCATGGTGGCACAACATCTACAAAGGAATTATAAGAGATAAAGTTGTTGGAGGTAGGGGGATGTTATGAGTCCATATGGGATTGGACCAGTGAAATTATTGTCATAGAGGGACAGGAATCGCAACAGGGGGAGACTAAAGCTTTTATTGCTAGGAATTGATCCAGTAAGATTGTTGCCACCAAGATCTAAATCTTGTATTCTGGACATGTTGAAGATGGATGGTGCTACTGGTCCTGATAACTGGTTTCGGCTCAATACAAGGTATTCAAGCATGCGCAATGAGCCAATAACACTGGGTATCGGTCCTGATAGACTGTTGTTCCCAAAGTTTATGTAAATTAAGCGGGTAGTGTTGTTAAACATGTTCTTTGGCACTGGACCAGTTAACAGATTGTGCAGCAAATCTATCAGCCTAAGATTAGACAAATTTCCCAGCTCTGGTGGGATATGCCCAGAAAGGTTGTTGTACCTTAAACTAAGAACTTCGAGTCCAGTGAGATTTCCTATAGTAGATGGCACAGTGCTTGAAAGGCTATTATGGCCAAGAGAAAGAACTTTTAGACGTTGCAATCTACCGAGATCACCTGGGATGGAACCGGTGAGGCTTGTGTTTGTAAGGTTAAGGACAGAAACAAAAGAGAGATCACCAAGATGAGGAGAAATCTCTCCTTTAAGGGGAAGGTTGGGCAGTGCCAAGGCAGCGACACGCTGCCGACGCCGACTGCATGAGACACCAATCCAGTGGCAGAACGAGGAGTCTGAAGTCCAATTGCTGCCAAGGATACCTCGAGGATCTGCTACCTGCGCTTTGAAAGCAAGCAGAGCAGCAGAGTCACTGGCGTAGCTATGGCCCGACGAGGAACCTGCTGCAGGTTCCGCTGGTAATAAGGAATGGATAGGAATGCAAGGAAACGCCATCTTTTAGTTCTGTATATTAAGAGCAGAGGATATTATACATATATATAGAACACAGATAGTAAAGTAAAAGAAAAGTTCTAAAATATCCAAAAGATGTTGACGTATCTTAGCTAATGGTCTAACTGTCAAATCAATTGTGCTTCAAAGTCAAGGAACTTCTGGCCATGTTTGAAGTTAGGTTACTTCAACGATTGCAGCGTAACGGATGAATGAGGTTGAAGATCTTGACTTGTGTCTTGGACAATTTTCTGTACCTTAGTGTGGAAATAGAATAGAACGGTTGCTGTTTCTGAATAGCTTGTGGAATTTTGAGGCACAGGAGATGTGTCAGGCTTAAGCACGCCAAAATTTACAGCTGTGCAAATGCGACTCGAATTGAAGGTTACCGAGCAAGTGGATTGCAGAGAGCTCCGTTAGGACAATATCTGCCAACCTATTGTAATAAGTCAGCTGTCATCAATGCAGCAATATACTAGAAGACTAGAATTTTAATTTTAGTATTACTAATTCTCCACGATAAATGCGCTAGAAAAAAATAAATCCTATAAATTCTTAAAACATCAGGCAATTTCATTTATGGGCCATTTGGATCCTTTCATTTTAGAGGAATTGGAATCTATTTAATGGATTAGGCTATTTGACTTGGAATTTTGATATTCCACGACTTTCTAAAGTTCACATATAAGATAAAAATTGATTCTGTAGATCACCATGCTACATTTTCTAATTTTTAACTTATAGCACGCTCTTTAACTCGTTTTCTTATAGTAGAAATATAACATATAAGTATTTATCTTGTATGGCTAACAATAATAATATATAAATATATTTTATATAGAACTATATTAGTTTAATTAATTTGTGTCTAAATTATAATTATTAGAATAAATTCAATTCTAAGGATCCAAACGGGCCCTTAGTAGAATCTAATTGTCATTGTCAATAATAGCTATGAATCTATTCTGCTTTAAAAGTATACACCTTTACCATTATAAACAATACATCGTAACCACTGCTTTAAAAAACTAGCTTAACCATCGTCAAAGCGCCGAAGGTGCAGGCACGCGTTCGCCCCTTCCAGAGCCGCATGCAGCCGAGCGGAGCTCACTGCACTAGCCAAGCCAGTGGCTACCTTCTCCCAATCTCCCTTGGGCCCCCAGGGCCAATTTGCTTCGTCATTGCTAGGCCTCTACTTACAGTATCTCCAACAGATGTGGTAAAATAAATAGTCAAATTGCATAGTTTAGCTCTTTTGTAAAATAAGTCCTAAAAAAAGAAGAGTTTTTCAATAGACTTGCTATTTCTCATCTTGTATATTAAAAAAATTGCTACGTCACCATCTACCATGGACCTATTCCACCTGCCGATTGAATTTTTCTACGATCTATTCCTTTGGAGTCGTCCGCAGCAACGCCCTGGCGGCGGCTGTGCTCCTTCGCGTCAATAGAAGATCGTCGCGTTCTGGGCTCCTGGCGGCGACATTGCGCGTGTGTCACCAGCACAAGACGTTGATCCTGGTGGCGACGGGCTGCTGCTACCCTGTACGTGTTCAAGTAGGTCATCGTGTATCCTTGATATGATTTTTCTTTAGGTCACGTTATCAAATCAGTAGATCGACACACATCTTCTTTCTTTAATCCTGGTTAGGTGTTCAAGCAGATTCCTAGGACCCTCTAATCAAAGGTTCGTAATGGAATTTGAAGATGTAGTTAACGAGTTGATGGATTCTTCATCGTCGTCGTTGTCATCGTCGGATGATGACGATGAGGTATATACTGCAACAGATCATATAGTACTATCAGACATTGTTAAGCCAGCATGCCATCGTGGATCCATAGAGGGACATCGTGTTGTGAATCGTGATAGGCAGTCGGGACACTGCAGATTGTATGAAGATTATTTCTCAGATAATCCTTCGTATGGACCGAGTTATTTCAGGCGCAGGTTAATTCTCTCAAATTTTATTGACTTATGTTTAGTGTATGCATTGAGGTCTGAATAATTTTTTTTAATCTGACGTCATAGGTTTCGAATGCGGCGTCACATGGCGTCACGTGTTTGTCCGCATGATGAATGCCGTTGAGAAGTATGATGACTATTTCGTGCAGAAGAGGAATGCAGCCGGAACCCTAGGACTATCTTGTTTGCAGAAGGTGGTGGCGGCATTTCAGATGTCATCCATAGCAGCTGATGCTATGGATGACTATATCCGTATTGGGGAGAGTACTGCTCTAGAAAGTCTTAGAAAGTTTGTCAGAGCTGTTGTTCAGGTATTTTGACATGAATACTTGAGGTTGCCCAATGAGGATGATACTGCCAGATTACTTGCGATTGGTGAGAGTAGAGGTTTTCCTGGCATGCTTGGTTTCATTGATTGTATGCACTGGACCTGGAAGAATTGTCCTTATGCATGGCAAGGTATGTATAGGGGACATAAAAAGGAGCCTACAATTATTCTTGAAGCTGTTGCTTCTAAAGATCTTTGGATTTGGCATGTTTTCTTTGGGATGCTAGGTTCGCACAATGATATAAATGTTCTTCACAGATCTCCTATATTTGCAAGGCTTGCTGAAGGTCAAGGGCTACAGGTAAATTATAGCATCAATGGGAATGATTATACTATGGGTTACTATCTAGCAGATGGTATATATCCATCTTGGGCCACATTCATGAAGACCATACCCGAGCCACGGGGTAATAAGAACAAATATTTTGCAAAAGCACAAGAAGCTTGTAGGAAGGATGCCGAACGAGCATTTGGGGTTCTACAAGCTCGCTTTGCCATTGTTCGAGCGCCGGCACATGTGTGGGATGAGGATACAATTCAACTTGTCATGACGGCTTGTATCATTATGCATAATATGATTGTTGAAGACGAGGGAGTTGACGAAAAAGATTTCAGATATGATGATGTGGGAGAAAAGGTGACTGTATCACACGATGCTACACCTGAGTTCGATGCATTTATGCAGAATTACAAGAAGATCAAGGACAAGGAGACACACACAACTTCAAGTCGACCTTATCGAGCACTTGTGGCATAATTTTCCAGATTTATATACAAATATTACTGTTGAATAATTTCATTTACTATCACAACATCAAGACATTATGTATTAGTTTCCAGACCTATGTTCTTTGTTTGATTTACTAGATACTGTAATAGTTCAAGGCATATTTTTTTTGTGACAAGCTTGCCTTTCATTTATATTGAAAGCCTGAATGTTTTGCTTGAAAGCCTGCAACACTAGTTGCAAACATTGCTTTGATGCAAGGAATGGTTCTTTTCCCTGTTGCATGTACAATGGCTCTCAGATGCAAGTACTTATACTGCAGAGCAGAAGGGCAAACTTAGTCCTCCAAAAATAGTATGCTGTCAGTTTCAGACCAACATGTCTTTTGTTGACAGTTTAGCAGTGGAAGCACTCACCATAGCCTGTCAGGACTCATTTGTTAAAAACATAACAGAAAACCCCATATGCAAAGGTACAAAACACTAGGCAGGTTGCAATACATAATACAGTAGCTGACTAAATTAATCTGCTATGAAGAGGACCTGAGGGCAGTGTCCAACGTGCACTTCTATGTATTGTCGAACAGGCTACAGTAGGTTCCAGAGAGCAAGTGCAGTGTCACAAGCCCAAATATATTTGTGATGGTGCAAACGTCAAAAGCAGCTCCTTTATAGAATAATATAGATAACAAGGTTCATGCAAGAACATTAATCAATCTGATATGCTATGAACTAAAATGTTTCAGAAAATTAAACATGTCTCACACTATGCTCAAATCTAAAAAATTCGAAATCATGGTTCTACTAATTTCCAAGCCGTCTTACAAGTATTTTCTTCTGTTTCATCATAGAACTGTTGTTGTCTGGTTGACATGGTGCTCGTATCAATATTTATAATTCTTTTTTCTTCTCGATCCCGCTCAAAATCAAAATTTTCTTTGTCAAGTTTTATCCTTTCTTCATGCAAGGCAAGGGCTTTTTGGCACATCTCTTGTTTCTTCAACTCCCTCTCCTCTTTCTTTAACTCCCTCTCTTTTTTCTTTAACTCCTTCTCAGCATCCACCTCTTTCTTCTTTGCCAATAAATAATTCAAAGCTTCAATGCTTGAACGCTGCTTTAATTTCAGCTTTTCCTTCTTAGTCCCTGTAGGCCTCGGCACTGTGGTTATTGTGGTTTCAGTCTCAGCTACAGTACTAGTGGCAGGGTCTGGTGCATCAATAGCAGGAGTTGAATCAGCAGTGGTCTTTTGCTTTTTGCTTAATGGTTTCTGAGGTCCAGTTGGCTGGCGCCTATTCGTCCACTTCGAATGGTCTTTCAGTATTTTCCAGCAATGTATGTACTGGAAAGTCCTGTGTAATGGGTCGTCATTCTTATACATAGTTAATGCATTTGCTTGCTACAATGGGAAACAAAGATGACACATGAGATTCAGCTAAAACATATAGGAAATTAGCATGTGAAGGTAGGTCATCTAACCTTGTCATCAACAGATGCACCACTCTAATTTCGGGCCTCTACCTTCAAAACACAACCAGCAAATGTGTTGTAGTCATGTAGTATACTAGACCACCGACTCATTAGAGAACTTTGTGTGCGATCAGATTCAAAATCCTTTTTGAATGAAAGTAATCATGTATTCTTTTCCAATAGGTATCTTTTGATTGATTGGCTCCTCTCACAGGATCCAAACTCACATTCTGCACTCTGAATTTGGTAATGTAATAATGAATTTATAAGAACTCTGGATGTATGAAATGTATTAAGTATTGTAACTCGTTCTCATTATTTGATTCTTTGGGGGAAAATGTGGACTATTCGGGCTCTCCCTTGGGGTGTGCCCGACGGAACCTGCCCCCAATAACTCGCTTTTGGGGTGTTTAGTGTCTGGTGGAAGACAAGCGTCTCCGTAAGTGTGTTATTTTGGACGGTTCTGCCACACGGTTCTAGCTCCTCATGTGGAGTTGAATTTGTTTTGGAAAATATTTAGCAAAAACAACTCTAGTGACAGTTTTGTAATAATTTATATTATATTTGTGAGGAGAAGCTGAAAGAAGCCATATTTCTTCGACTCGAACTCCTCCGTATAGAAACGGCTACAACTCCTCTAGCTCTTGCTAGAAGCCGTTTTTTAATTGTCGTGTGCCCGGGCTCCTTGCAAGAAGCCGCAAGAACCCAGAGCCCTACCAAACACGGTCCAGTGTCTCACGGATAGGTTATGTTCATCCGTGAGAAAGCGATTCCCACGGCGTGCTGTGAGACCAGGCTACAGGTTGGTCTTGCTTGGAGATAGACGGAGCGGCCAGCCGGCCATTGCTGCAGATATATCAGTGATGCAGACTCGCGGAGTAAACAAAATTCTTATATTTATCTTTTTTTTTGGACCAGTACGAAAAACATTTGACCCATGATATTCTTTCGTGAAGCTGTTGATATGTTCACTAGTGGCCGGTGAGACTAGCTACAGTGTGATGAAAAATCGATGCTGAAACGAGTGAACTTTTTTCAAGCCTCGGTACATTGTGACATGACATTGCAGAGAATGATGCTCTACTCGAAGAAAGCTAGGCACCTAGTCAAGTGCATGCATTGATGATGACTTGAAGTAGGGAGTAGCAGGTACAGGTAGGAGAAAAACGGATGGAACGGGAGGAATTTAAAGGGGGTCCCATGCGCACTAGTCGTGTCGATTTGAACGCTGTGCCCGTTCATAGTTCCACGCATCTTGTCATGTGGCTAGTCTTCCAGATGAAAGAAAATATCCGTGGAAAATAGTACTTGTATAGGACTGGACCAGTACAACCAGCAGTGCAGCTGCTTTCAGTCCTTCACGGCTTGTCCAAATGTCTTCCTGTTTTCTTTGACCAAAAACTCGTGTTGACAAGACACTACTGCATTATTAATTACTACTACTCTGATTAATTAGGTACTCATATATATACTCCATTCCGATCATCTGGATCAGCACCACAGAGACAGAGCTCATCACGAACCCTCGCTCGTTGAGCAGGCGAGCGACATACATGGCCATGGGCCATGGCGGCCTTCCAGCTTCATAATAGGCCTCCTCCATCTGCTATGCCATGTCGTCAATCCACCGTCCTGCTCCTCTTCTGCTTTCTGCTGTCTTGTTCCCACCCCATATCCTGCACCTGCTTCGGCTCCCAACAGGATCCCCACAGCAATCTTACCGTGAGCGGCGCCTTCGACCAACTGCCGGGCTACCTGTTCCTCACCAACATGAGTACCTGCAGAACAAACTGGGAGAGGGTGGATTGCCGTGGCCTAGGCACCTACATGACGAACAACTATCCGGCTTTCGACCTGTTCCAGAAAGGTTGGTTCTTCGTCCGGCAACATATTGTTCTTGTCCAACACAAGTACGATGATAGACCTGATGAAGCGTCCTTCAGCGTCGTCTTCACCATGAGCATCTACCAGCCAAACAACGAGATGAAGGCAGCAAATGGCGCCAGTCTGGTGTTCGCCGTTGAGCCTTTGTTCGTCCCATTCGACTCGTGGGGCATTTTCACCCCACCCAATTGGCAGGTACTTGGCCCCTCCAGCTCCTCCAACCCCTCGTCATCCACCGATAGTGCTGGCGGCCACCTCACCGCTGAGATCGGTACAGCCCGAGATAACGGGACGTTGCTGTATCTTGGCGACATAATCTGGGTACAAATTGGCATAGATCCGCCACCGCCAGTCAACTCTTCTGTGGCAGCGGCAAGCAAGTACAGCGTGTGGATCGACTATGATCATGTCAGCCACCGCATGTCAGTCTATGTCGACGCCGGTGAAGACACGCCAAAGCCTGCAAACGCGATAGCCAGCAAGAACCTCACCATCAGAGCGCAATACGCATTGCTAGGCCTTTTCTCCTCCATGGGGCAGCTCCTACAGGTTCACTCATGGAACTCCACGGTCGACGGGCTCCCCGATTTCCAGGACACAACTGGCGTACAAGACAAGACCATCATACTGTCCTCCGTCCTTGGATCGGTGGCTGCGACGACCATCACGACTGCCCTTGTGTTCTTGTACCTCAACTCCAAGTACAGGAGGTGGAAGAAAGAACAGGATGAGCTGACCAAGATCATGCAGGGTATCCCCGGGGTGCCAGCCCACGTTGACTTCACTGAGATAAGGAAGGCCACGAGGAACTTCCATGAGACGACCAAGCTTGGCAAGGGAGGGTTCGGAGCTGTGTACCGATGCAAGCTTCCTCCTGCTGTGGCTTCTTCTAGGAGTAGTAGGCCGGGGCGGCGAGGAGCCATGGACGCGGCAGTCAAGAAGTTCACGCGTGAAGTTGAGGACCACCGCTGTAGTGACTTCATCGCTGAGGTCAGCATCATCAACCGTCTGCGACACAAGAACATTGTCCCACTTATTGGTGAGTACAATAATTGCCCATGTTCTGTTTCTTTTGAACACCTTAGTACAATATAAAAAGAGCATAGTACTTAGTAGTATTATTATGTACTGTATTCTTGAATGGGAGTAGTAGTACTTAGATAGTGCACAAAATTTTCAGGCTGGTCCTACAACAAAGGTGAGGCACTCCTCATCTACGAGTACATGACCAACGGCAGCCTGGACCAGCATCTCTTCCAGAACGGCAGCGTGCAGCAGCAGCAGCAGCAAGAAGACGGAGACACGTCTCTCCGGCAATGGCACACCCGCTACGGCATCGCCAGAGACATCGCCACAGGCCTGCACTACGTCCACCACGAGCATGAGCCCATGGTGCTGCACCGCGACATCAAGGCCAGCAACATCATGCTCGACTCCGACTTCCGTGCCCGGCTCGGCGACTTCGGCATCGCCTGCACGGTCGCTGTCAACAGGAGCTCCGTCACGGGCATCGCCGGCACGTGGGGCTACATAGCGCCGGACTACGCGATGAGCTACAAGGCCACGCGCCAGACTGACATCTATGCGTTCGGGGTGCTGATCCTCGAGATTGTTACAGGAAAGAAGAACGGGGACATGGTGGACATCCCACCTGAGGACGATGAACACATCACGGACTGGATCTGGCGTCTCCACGGGGAGGGGAGGCTGCTCGATGCCGTCGATGGCAGTGTACTTGTTGCCGCCGGTGGTGGTGGTGATCAGCAGGACGACAGGGTCGCTGACGAGGCCAGACGTCTGCTGCTTCTTGGACTGGCGTGCACCGACCCTAACCCGTTGGATCGTCCCAGCATGGCTGAAGTGCTGCAGGTCATCACCAAGGTTATGCCGCCACCGGACGTGCCACCTAAGAAGCCAGCCTTCGTGTGGCCGCCGCGAGACTGGCGTTCACGCAACTCTGTCTACAGCACGGCCTTGAGTGACTGGGACCGGGACCTGGACGGGAGCTTGGCAAGCACGGCGGAGCTGGCGCAGGTCAGCATGGAGCAGCCGTCGACAACCGTCGCTGGAGGACACGCCTCCGTTCGTAGCAGATCGACGCAGAGACTACACGGAGGCACAGAGCAGACGCAGCCCATGAAGGATGAGCCGAATCTTCCTCTCTGCTCTTGGCCTCGCTCATAACCGGGACGGAGTGCAGCATGTGTATGCACTATGCACCATGCATAGTCTGATCCTAATCCGACCGTATACATATTTCATATTTGTAGGTACTGTAATAAATATATTTGTATCCTTAGCTATCTTTGGGAAGAACTAGCTCGAACTCTCGTGCAATTGCGTGGACTAGGAACTCTGATAATCGTCTAGGCTGGTATATAAACCCTGCTCTGCTCTGTTAAACAGAGCTACATACAGCTCACCTCTGTGCTGTGCTTTTGTCTCTAATGGTTTGAAAATATAAATGGCCACATACAGCTTTTTTCAAGAAATTCTCTAGGTAGAACTTGTGCCAAATTGCATGATTCTGCACCCCCTTGCTACTAGTAAGAGAAGATTCGAGGAATGAGATGAGGAAACAAGAATAGGCGGAATTGGCTTTTGACCAGCTTCTTTGCAATAAACAGATTGTACGTGCTCAATCATAACAAACTCCTGATATTGTTGTGCACAATCACAGCCTATACTAGAGCAGACCAAAGCTGTTTGGGCTTTTGGCAGGCGCCGATGACTCTAGGGGCGTGCGCGTGCCTCAGCACGGCGGCAGCAGCAGCAGCCATGGAGCCGTGCGCCGTGCGTGGCAGACGGCAGCAGGCCGCATTACATTACTAATCCCCTGTGAGGTACTGCTGCATCTACCAAAGAATAGAAATCTCTCTTAGGAGTTAAATGCTGTAAAAATGTACTAATATTTATGATGCACAGTAAATATCACTAGATTAATCAAGGAACATGTTTCTACAATAAACCTAATTGAAAATATAAATGGCTACTTTTTGTAAATCTAGTCATACTTTGAATTGTTCGACTCTTTAGAAAATGTGATTTTCATTCTTTTTAGGACGGAGGTACTAACATACGTAGCAACATAAGGATGCACATATATAATTAGCCCATAAAAGTTTTGTTTTGTTTTTCAGAGGAGAGCTCATCCACCATAGTTAAGTTACGAAGGCAAAGGGCACGAGGAGCGATATGCTGCTCATATCTTGACGGTGAGCTTGGCCCTCCCTTTTTACTTTCACTAGAGAATTCCCGCCGAGGGCAACCTCACTGTCGAAGCTGAGTTCAGCATTTTGGCAAACATACGTGGCACGTGAACCACACTCTCATTTCCCCTCCACCTTCTTTGGGCATTGACCACCCTGAGCTTACCTAAACTCAGTGCATCATGAGCTAGGGAGGGGTTCAACATGCGTCGAGGCCTTGTCCACCATGCACCCGTGCGGTAGACTACTGACTCGGCAGAGAACAATCGCCACCCATGTTGCCACATGGCATGGCGCCCTGCCCGGCATGTGTTCAGACTAGGACAGCACAAGAACTGACCCTGTGGCCAATATCCGGCCCATCTTAGCTTAGTTTCGGCCCAATCAATTTGACTATTGAGTGTTGACCAAGCAGCATCAATTTTCCTCAAAAAAAAAAAAATCGTTGATCATGCCCTACCTGTCAGTGCATGTGTGACCGAGAGCACATGGCGCTCCTTGGCTCCACCACATGTAGCTCTCTAAAAAATCAGCCCCTTACTAACATTCTGAGAATAGGAAAATGGCTTTTACTCTCTGAAAATTTAATTCAAATAAAATCCAAAAAAAATATTCTTCTTGTACTAAATTTTTTTTCCTAAAATGAGCTCTACTTGTTGGAGATATGTATGAATGCATTTGGGTCTTTTAATGTTAAGCCATTCATTTTATGTGTTTTATAGTGGTTCGTTTAGTCCGATTATGGCCCCCTTTGGCTGGGCTTTTCAACCTGTTTTTGTTTTTGCAAAAGCCAAAAGCCAACCAAAGGGATGAAAAGCAACAGTTGCTTTAGGCCAAAAGTTGTTTTTGCTCTAGTACAAAACTCAAAGCAGCTTCCTCTACTTTCAGCTGCTTTTGGGCAAAAAAAATTACTCACCTGCCACTGGTAGTGAGATACCGGTTTGTTTTTTTTGTTCTATTCCCGTCCGCATCACGATGAAATGAGGGCCGCAGCGGCGTATCTCCAAGCAGCCGCTCCACTCTGGGCGTCGCGCCCCCTGGCCGGTATACTCTACGATGCGAATCTCCATCGCCGGCTCAGCGCTCCTCTGTTGGGCACCACACGAATCTCCATCGCCGGACAACGTGAATCTCCATCGCTAGCGCGGAGCTTCCTTGTGGATCTGGGTGAGCGAACGCGGCCTCCTTGCCGAAGTGCTGCCGTGGGTGGGCTTGGACTCTTCTTGCCGGAGCTGGGGAAGATGAGGTGGAGCAGGCGGCCTCTCCACTCCTCCATGGCCGGCGGGACCTTCCCTCCTCCATGGCCGGCTGCAAGAGGAGGTTCTATTGCAACTGGTATCACAATTGGTAGTGATATGTGGACTCTGTTGCCATGAACTGTTGTGTTGTGTTAGTTGTACACTCTGTTGCAAGAGGAAGGTATTATGGCCACGGTTGAAAAGGTGGTTGCAAGTACATGTAAATACTGCAACAAATTGTGCTGCCTTGTGTTAATAGTGAGTTTGCATTGCGCTAACAGGTTTTGTTGCCACCATTCTGAAGGTGGTTGCAAGGAGTTGTGAATATTATGGCTACAATGTCACTGCGTTGCCTTAATCTTGGCCCGCATTGCGAAAGAGTTTCCTGTATTGCATCTATCAGAAATGTGATTCGTTGCATCCATGTAAGGTTCTATTGCCACCAATTTCATATGTGGAGGCTATATTAAAGTATATCTCGTTGCAAGTATTAGTTGTATTGCCACATAAATTTATTCGTGAGCCTTGCATAGTCCTACACAGGCCAAAGGCAAAGGGGTTAGGCTAAACAGCCGACCACCGGGTAGGCCCATCGTGTCATGTAGGGTTTTACTATAGTACCCCAATAACTGTGGACCGTACATATTTTGTATACATTTGTTTAGTTTGTTGCCTTTTCTTTTTTCTAAACATTTTAATTAATTAATAATTACTTAGTTATTGCAAGCACTTAAAAATGAAGGGCTAAGATGTTTTTGAGATCTTACCTCCCATGAGGTAAAGGGGGTACCTTAGCATGGCCCTGTCATGTAAGAGTAACTCCAAGAGACTCTCTATATCCTTCATAAATGCTAAGAATAGAGATTTTGGTTAAAAACTATCCTCCAACATCTTTTCTAAAATGGTTATCCAAATATAGCCATCTTCTATTCTGAATTTTTCGCTAGTAAAAAATATAAGACGAGAATGACTCTCTAGAGTACGAACGAGACATAGAAGAACTATTGGAGAGTGAAAGATATATAAAGCGATTTTTATGCAAATGACTCTCCAAGTGATGATTTAGAAAGTGGGATTTAGAAAGGGGAAATGGCTTTCCTCAGCTGCTTTTAGGCATGCAGTTCTCTTTGTCTCAGGGATCTCAAGCAATCAGGTGATAATTGCTTCAGTTTGCCTCTCTCTAATACAAAAGCTCCAATCAGATGCCATGGACGGCTCTGAAACTGGTGTTCTCGTCCAAGATATCAAACGGATGGTTCGAGGCTCTTCTATTACTTTTTCTCCCATCCATGTCAGTAGATGTTGTAATATGGTAGCACATGTACTTGCTAGGTCGGCCGATCAGCTCTCGACTCGGTTTGGTTTCACGAAGCAACAGATCTTATCTGGACTCCTCTATGTAACGATCGGTTCAATTAATTAAATGCTACCTTTTACTCTAAAAAAAAAGTGAGATCCCATACATGGCCTCAAGCCCTAAACTTGAGACGACGTTATGTTACTGTTAATAAGCACGCTAGCAGGGTGAAGATTTTTTTTAAATAAAGGTTTACACTGCTGTTGTCGTACAAAGAGTTTGGCTAAAAGACTGTCTCGAATTGATTGCAATGATTACTCTGAAATAGGTGTTACCTCTATTGAACCATTCAAGATAATTGTTCAGGAGTCTGAAAAGAAGAAATCAGTTTCAGTAAGCAAAGCATGTTCTGAGAGAGCTGTTTCAAGCCATAAACCAATGAGCTATGTCAAGCCTAACGAATAGATTATGTTTTCAAGCCATAAATGTATGTTTCAGTTAGCATGATTCTGAAAACAGCGTATTAGAATGGTTCATTAATCTGAAAAATAACTTCATTGCAGAGGAGCATCTAGCTGATGGTATTTCACAACATGGTTCAGTTATCTTGGAAAAAATACACGAAAGACCAGCTGCTAGTTGATGGTTTACCAGCATATTAGCATGGTTCAGACACATGAATGGAAGTTAGCCAGCAGGCTTCTGAAGCTACTAAGGAAAAAAGTGACTAACATCAGAAGTTCAGTAAGCATGCATGGGAAGAAAACCACAATAGTAGTTGATGAGTACTATGCGTCATGAACGTTGAAACAGCTCTTGTTACTGTAATCCTTGCAATTGACTGAGTATTGCGTCACTGTGTTTGAATAACAGCCCATCCATGCATGTGCCCTCTGTGTGAAGTGTAAATAGTACTGTTGATTTGCATTTGCGTTGGCAAACCTATGTCATATGGTGTATGAATGAGTGAGACTCAGCAAAAGTTTTCTCCTACAAATACTTGTGTAAAACAAATGGTGCTAATGCTTTTGTTTTCAGTTTTAGATTTGACTTGTTGGAGCATTTTTTGTAATGTTATTACGTTTCTGTGAGCTTTATTTATGGGCTTGTGATTATAAATTGTGCAATCCTACTGGTGCAAGCTCTCATTGAAGGAAAACATAAATCACAAGTGGGAAACAAATTGGGAGCTGGTGCAAGGCTGCTAAATTTTTAAGAGTTTTCCCAGGCCCCCATATGAAATCCGTTGCAGTGCAGCAGAAGACAGGAAGAGAAGGAGCTGACCCGGAGCCCCCTCTCGCGGCGGAGCTGGAGCGGGAGACCGGACAGGGAAACAGGCGGAGATAGGAGGTCCGGGCGGGCCGGCGGCTACGGACGAGAGCATCAGCAGCAGGCTCCATCCTCCCTTCTCTACAACGACAATAGATCCATAGAGACTGA